GCGTGCCTCTCGCAGTGATCAGTTGTTTGATGAGAGTCGCTTTCTCCCCCCACCCCACCCCCAGCCCCGCGCGCCGCCGCGCCCAACAGCGTGCGTCGCGTAGCGAAGTGCTGGGTGTAAGTTGAGGGGGGGGGGAGGGTTCTAATCCCTACTGCGTGCCCGCACCTCACACACTGCGACATATTTCCCACACAGTGAAACATGTACTCGAAAATAACTTATAGGCGTTTAATAATACTGTAAATGAACCGAAACACATTTCCGTGTGTTGTCTTTTCTTTTTGGCAATGGTGTAGTCTACCTTTACTCGACCCTTCTAAATTTTCTACGCGCCGCCATTCTTGATTTGCTTCATAAATAACAAAGGATGCTGCGTGAAGTGTTGTGAGTTACTAGCGCCCGCTCAGCCTTTCGAAGTAGCTACTGTACCTTTTTCCTTTCGTCTCCCACGTGACGACCCTCTCCGCGGCTCACAGGGTGCGAGTGGGTGCGAGTGGTGTGGGAGGGACTCGAGCCGGGACTCCGCGGCCTGCAGCGCAGTTATAGCAGCCACTTTGTTGTTCTTTACTGACGCCCGCGTGTTGCGGCCGACGGGGGAGGGCGGGGGTTTACTCTTGAGACACTCTCCTTGTTCTTTTCCCGCAAAGGATGCGGGTCTTACCACCTGCTCCAACCCCACCTTTTGCACCCTACCCGCCCTTATGAACATTCTCTCTCGCTTTCTCTGACGCGGCGTGCTGTGCTGACCTCGTGCGCCCTCTCTCAGGTCTACATTTGTAACCAGGTCTACATTTGTAGCGGGACTCCCTAATCCCTTTAATGTTGACCAATAAACTAAATCAATCAATCAATCAACCAACCAATCAATCAATCTCTGTGCTTTTTTGCAGCTCAACAACCCCTATTCGCTCAAGCCACCCTTCCGGTTCGGCACCATCCCCCACGGCAACACGGACGCGGTGCTGCGCCGGAACTTCCCCCAGATGCACGGCTACATGCGGCAGTACAACCGCAGCTCGGTGGCGGACGGCGTGCGCGCCGTCAAGGACGGGTAGGTCCGGTCGGCCGCCGGCGTCGAGGACATCGTATGGTCGTGGTGGGCGCAGTCAGTCACCCTCTGGAAACACTCGCTGCCGCAGGTCCCTGGACGCCTTCCTGTACGACGCCACGGTGCTGGACTACCTGGCGGGCCAGGACGCGGACTGCGTGCTCGTCACGGTGGGCTCGTGGTTTGCCATGACGGGCTACGGCGTGGGCTTCCCACGGCACTCCAAGTACCGCCCGCTCATCAACCGCCTGCTCATGGAGTACCGCGAGAACGGTGCGCATTTATGTTGACCTCACTTCGAGATGCGGCGCGCGCGAGAGGCCAAAGGTTAATGCTCACTGGAATCTCCCTCTCATCCCCGCAGGTGACCTGGAGCGCCTCCGTCGCTACTGGTTCACGGGCTCCTGCAACAACCCCGCGGGCAAGGAGAAGCAGAGCCGCTCGGACCCGCTCGCCTTGGAGCAGTTCTTCAGCACCTTCCTCCTGCTGCTGCTCGGCATGGCCTTCTCGGGCGTGCTCCTGTTCGGCGAGAACGTGTACCTCAAGTACGCGCTCAAGAGACAGCGGCGCCTCGGCCTGGTGAGTGGCGGGGGCTGGCGCGGGAGCGGGGCGGGGCGCCGGGTGGGCTGGCGAGCCCGCCGCACACGCTTGTCGTGCGGGTGAGCCTATGCCGCGCTGTGCAGGGGCCCTGCTGTGAGGCGCAAGCGTGCGGGCGGCGGTTCACCATGCGCACACGGCCTCCCCCACAAACGACCCTTTGGTGTTGCAGGACGGCCGGGGCAGCCCGCACCACCAGCTGCCGCACCAGGTGCACCCCGAGGACCGGCGGCGGGTGCTGCGCGCCCAGCTGGTGGACCTCAACCGGAGGCAGGACCTGCGCAAGCCGTCGGGCGCCCCGGGACCAGAGCCGCCGCCGCCGCCGCCCAGCAGGGTGGGGATGTACATGGCGAGCTGCTGCGCGCTCTTCAGCACGGTACGCTGCACTGGCACGACCAGAGACGAACTGGCGAGCATTTGTGGTGAAGTGCCCCTCGTGACCCTGTCTACCCTCTGCAGAGCCTGGGCCGGTCGCTGATGGGCGAGCCCCCGCGGATGGCACCCGCCCGCCGGCTGCTGCTGGCCGGCCCCCTGGGCGCCCACGAGCAGAACCAGCTGCACGGGCTGCGCGCGCAGCCGCACGACCCGGAGCGCTGCACCGCGGCGCACAAGCACCTCCAGGCCGCCCTCGCCGACGCGCGCGCCCGCGCCGACAAGCTGGAGCGCATGCTGCGCGGCGCCCAGCAGCAGCGCGGCTTCCAGGGCGTCGTCCAGAGCGTCGTCCCGCAGATGAGGGCCTTCAGCACGGCCAGCGTGGCCACGGTGTGCAGCAGGGCCAGCGTGGTGCACGGGCCCCGCTGGTCTCCGGACGGCTCCCCGGTCCGGCTGCCCGCCAGGTACGTGAAGGCCATATGTGGGGCGATTGACTGGTTCGTCATCGACTCTCGCGCAACTCACCTGGTCCGCTTTCCCTCGCAGCAGGCGGTGCGCTGGCGTGGGCGGCGTGCCCACCCAGCCCGCGAGCCACTCGCGAGGCTGCCCCGCGGCCCCGTCCCCAGGGCAGCCCACGCACCACCACCTCAACAGCGCCGCCGCCTACGCCCTGCGACACGAGGCGGCCGGCGCCCCCACGCCGCCCGAGTTCGAGACTGTTCTCTGAACGACCACCGTGGACAAAGAAACGATAATAAATCCAGCTCAATTTATAGGGGAGTCCAGCCCGACTGCCCCATAGCCGAATGTCTTAATGTCCATATATGTATTTTCTCATGTTTATGTTCCATAGCTCCTCTGTTATGTTTGAAAATTGTTTAACATCTTTTGAGACTTAATGTTTCTTGTTGATCTAGAAAAGGTATGTAGTTTGAAAAAAAAATCAGAGAGATTTCCTGGGCCAATGCATGTTTTTTTCTCAATGCTGCCATTTACTCTTAAGATTTCTTGTAGAAAATAAATTATTCAGGGTAAATTTTGTGTTATTGAAAGAGGTACCGGTAATCCCTTCGAACACAAAGAACCAAAAAATAAAAATGGGGAAGAATACAAATTCTTCTGTTTGTCAACAGATGTTTATTAGCCAGTAACCAAAATTCATGTGTAGTAAAAGATACGCTTTAAAGCTAATCACAGAGTTAAAAGTATCAAATTTTAAATTCATATTAAAATAGTCATACGAATCACAGTTAAAACATCAGGTTAAAATAAATATCTTTGCTGTCACTAACAAGTTAAGAGTCCATTCTAGTCTTTGGCATCATCAATTCCACCGCCAGTAATTGCAAAAGTGGCTTCACTTTCCGGCATGTCAGGGCTGGGAAAGAAAACAAGGTCCGACATTAGAATTTGAACCGCGGTTACAGGCGCAGGGTAGTAGCTAGTGACACATCACAATTTCGCTCCAGGGGACACAGCAGCAGGGCGGCATGCGGCGACACATATCTGCCAGGGCCGGCGGCCAAGCCGAGTGCTGTGTCGGTTATACAAGGGCACAGCGGTCCAGCAGCAGCGGGCACAGGCCCTCCCCCATCACTCCCCTACTCTCCACCCACCTGTCGTAGATCTTGGCGATGCGCGTCTCGCCGCGGCCCTTCCTCAGGGAGATGCGGGTGGTGGACGCGTGCGCCAGGATGTTGCCGCCGATGGGCTTCTTGGGGTCGGCCTGGAAGCTCATGGTGGCGCCCGGGTCGGCCGTCATCTGGTTGGTGATGAACACGGCCACGTTGTACTCCTCGGACACCTTCTGCAGGCGGGACATGAACTGCGCCAGCCGCTGCTGCCGGTCGGCGAGCTCGCCACGGCCGCTGAAGTCGACGCGGAACAGCGCCATCACCGAGTCCACGACCTGCCAGCGCGCCGGGAGAGAGCACAGCGCTCAGCATAGTGGGGAGCATGGCAAGACAATATTTGATGCGAATACTACGGTGTCAGGTGTCAAGAAGTTAGACGTTCGTCACCCCCTCCCTACCCCACCCGCGCGTGCACACACACACCAGCAGTTTGAAGACCCCGCCCTCCTCGTGGAACTTGGCGGCCACCATGTCGAGGAGCTCGGTCTGGTGCTCGCTGGTGTAGGCGCGCGCGTACAGAACGTTGTCCAGCACGGCCGTAGCGTCCAGCCCGAAGCGCTCGGCGATGGTGCGGAGGCGGTCGGGGCGGCTGGAGCGAGCTGATGTAAGGGCAACACAGGGTTTGTAGCGAGGACAGAACAGAAACAAACGGCCGGGCGCGCGGAAAAGGATACAAGGTGTGCTCCGTGTCGAGGAAGATGACCTTGCCGCCGCTGTAGTTGACGCCGGGCATCTGCGCCGTGACGCACAGGGTGTGCGACAGCTGAGTCTTGCCCGTGCGGAACTCGCCGAACGCCTCGGTGATGGCCATGGACTCCATGCCGCCGCCGAGGAGCTTGCTGTGGGACAAAATGGGTCGGAGTGCATGGGGCGCACACATTTCGGCATAACTGGACAAATGTCCATGAACGCAAACATGTAGAAACAAAATCGCTAATGCAACACTGGGCTTTTGCTAACCACAAAGTTTCCAGACTCAGGCGAAGGAAGTCCTGTTAGACTTACTCGAATTCCTTGCTGCCTGTGGTGATTTTAAAAACCTCTCTCCGCTTGTCCGAGACTTGCAGCGCCGTCATGAAGCTATGCTGGTCAATTTTGGCACACGCCTCTTTGATCTTGTCCACCTTAGCCTCGGAGAATCCCTTGATGGCGGCCAGGCGTCGCCGTGTAGTCATCTGGATGCCCTTGATGGTGCAGATCCCTGCTGCTTTGAGCTTCTTGATGTCGGCGACATTCTAAAAGGTTTGATAAGTTAGGAAAGGGGTGCACGGCAGAGAATTAACGACACCCCAGTAGCGCCAAACGCATTCAATGCGCTTCAATGCGCATTAAAATGCACATAAAAGGTCACACCTTGGTGACGCATGAAATGCGCATTACAGCATTTAATGCGCATTTAGTGCGCATTACGTGCATTTAATGCGTCACCAATGTGTGACCTTTAATGTGCATTTAAATGCGCATTGAAGCGCATTTAATGCAGTGGCGCTTCTGGGGCAGTTTAGGTGCCTTTCATCCCAGTGAGAAATTTAATCGACGATATCGTTTCGACATCGGTTTTTACGTCATTAGCGATTCGAAAGTAGGACTAAAATCAACGGCTTTTCAACAGTCGACATCAAAACCACAAACCATCGTCTGTCAAAATGCCGCCAGGCGCACTTTCGCTTTTGTGTCGCCAATACAACGTAAAAACTTATGTTAAAACAATATTGTTAAGAAAAATCTCACTGGGGTTGGAGCGGACTCATGTTCGGGTTAGGACACGCCACCCAGCGACCTAACTTACAATGCCGTGCTCCTGAAGAATCTCCACATTCTGATAAAAAGGCTGGTCATCGTCTTCGTACTCGGATCCAAGTTCCCCGTTGTGAGCCACGACTTGATCACCCATATTCTGATTTTGAAAATCTAGTTTTTGAACACTACGAATCGTATGTATCGAGTCAGACCACTTCCACTCTCAACGGCCAGCTGCTTGAACCACGACGACGACGGTGTTTGGAGTGGCGCGCAAAAGGAGCAATGGATGTAAGCATCGGTTCCGGCACCATCGGCCAGCGTTTCTTCAGGAACTTCAATCGGAAATCGAATAGTGAGCAATTTTAATATTTTTTCATGCTACATAAAATGTTTAATTAAAATAATTGTCGACGACCGAATCACAAATAGAAGCAAACACGCTTAAAACGCGCCAATAAAGCCGGAGTAAACTCTCGAGCCTCACCGGAAGTAGCCATCTTCTCTCTCTCCGCTCTCCCCACTCCCTCCCTCGTGCCCTCCCTCCAAGAATCAGCAGGATTTCCAAAACATTTGAAATCAGATACTGCGGATACTTCAGTTCAGTTTATTATGAAGCCATGGCGTCAGGCGGCTCTTCTGAAGTTTTGCTCAACGTTCTGAACACAGAAGAGTACAATTTGATTCCTGAAGATGTGCGTTCGAAACTCACCACTCATTTTGAGGAAAAACTGGAAGAATTTCTTACATCGAAAGCACTCTTTGAGTCATCCCGGACTAACCATGGTAAAGTGCTTACACCACTGTGGAGTCTGTTTTCTACCACCCTTTTCTTCGTCTATTTTGAATGTCGTTTTAAAGTTCCCATGCTAAATAGCACCACCGTCCCCCCTCTTTGCGAACTATCTTTCTTTTCTACTCGCATCTATCTTAGTCGGCCTATACCCCTCTGAATGTGTAGGCCACCCTAACCTCTTTATTTGACTTATCATGAGAGTTGTCTCTCATTCACAGTTTAATTGAACTTTATTCAAAGAGGCTTTATTGTGATGACTACATCTTAGTGCCCTTTTCAACTATCCAGACATTAGGCCTTCTTTTAAATTCTACAACCATGTCTTGGTTACCTCTTCCCGCTTTGCCCAGGGTAGCCTGTAGCTTGGTTTCTTCTTTTGCATATATTTTGGTTGTCTTGCCGATTTCGAATTATTTGGTTCATTTGCTGCTTTTGCTGATTTTGGCTTTTATATTTCCTTATTATTTTGACTAGTGATGTCTAAGTGATAAACTCAAATTCAAATCCCGTTAAACTTTTGGTCATTCAACCAACAATACCATTTTAAGTTGAAATTCACTCTGAATCTTGTTTTACAGAAGAGAAAACGCAAACACTTGGCAAAGAGTTGCAGGAGTGTCAAATAGAATTAGAAAACACCAAAACTAGTTTATACAATACTGATTCTGAACTCAAGATCTTCCAAGCAAAAGTGGAAGAAGTAAAAGCAGAACTATCAACTTTACAAGAAACAGTTAAAAAGTAAGTGGGGCTTGACATTGTCCAACAAAACATGACCCATTACCTTGTTTTTCAATTCTTAAATTTTATTGTCAGCTATGAGTCCGAAAACAATGATTTGCGGAGACAAAGAAATGAGGCAGTTGATGAGAGGGACACACTCACCCGAATGGTTGAAAGACGGGACATGGAATTGGAGAGACTTCAGAAAGATATCAAGATCCTCTCTGCTGAGCTGTCAGCTGCTATTAACTCTAAATGTGAGGCTGTTGCCAATGCTGAGGAAGTGGAGAGTAAACGCATAGCCCTCGATTTCAGGTAAATTACTTCATAGTGCATACTTATTAGTTTTTACCGGATTTTACTCTTATTTGAATTGGCTTGTGTGGTGTGGTATTTGGAGGGCTTTCCTCATAATAAATTACCTCTCTTGTTCCAGAGAAAAGAGCTTTGAACAAGAACGTGAGTTCATGAAAAAGAAAATTGCTTCTTTAACTGCAGATCTCAACGAAATAAATGGAGAATTATCAATTTTACGCCGCAATCAGGCTGCTGCTGATGTGTCATTCCAAAGTCAGCTTGAATCAAAGACTGAAGAGGTGAGCCTTGTGGTTTCATTTCATTAGATTATTTATTAGCAACTTGAAGCTTACCATTCTGTACATTATTTCAGCTTCGTATTTTAATGGAGAAGGACAAGCAACTGACTGAAGCTAACAGTAAGCTCGTTGAAAGAATTGAAGCTCTTGGGGCCAAACTCATGGCTCAGAGAGATAGTGAAGCTACCATGGCTGACAACTACCAACAAGAACTCCAAGCCAAAGCCAAGCTTGCTGACTTATACAAACGTAAGGTCCAACTTCCCCTTCCTTTCCGTACTGATGTGTTTTACTCTCCAATGGTTTGTCTAATATCATTAGTATTTTACAGGTATGATGGAAGACGCTAATTCTAAGAGCCAAGAACTGACAGATGCTATTCGTAGCCTTCAGCGATTGCTTGAAGATTCCAACAAACAGTATTCAGATCTGAAAGCAGAGTTTGAGGAAAAGGAACAGAAAGTTAATGAGACTCTAGACAAAAAAAATAAATGCATTGCTGCTCTTAAAGAGGAACTGAAAAATGCCAATGAACTTATCAAAGTGACTAAACAAGGTAATTTATTCCTCTTTTGAAACCTAGTCTTGCTCACTAAAATGTAATCTGTTGTTTTTCTTTTTTTTAATATTTTTATTGTTTTGTTAATTTAGATACAATGGAGAAGGCCATTGAGGGCATGTCACCTGCTGCTGCTGCTGCTAGTAAACTTATTAAATCAGGCCTCTCACTCACTCAGATTTACACTCAATATGTTGCTGTGTATGAAGAACTGACTTTGCAGAGAGAGGAGAACCGCAAGGCTAATCTCTACATAAGCACTATTGTGCAAGAATTGGAAGAAAAGGCTCCTATACTGAAGAAACAGAGGGAAAACTATGAAAATGCTGTTGAGAGTATTGCATCTCTTTGTAAGCAGAATGACCAGCTAGTTGAAGAAAGTAGAGTCTTGAGGGAAGAAGCCCGGGAGGCTAAGAAACTGTCTGGTCACCATGCACGAGAGAATGAACGCATGAGGAAGGAGATTTCTGACCTATCCCGGCAGGTGTGCTACTTGGTGAAAACAGTGGAGGAAGCTAGGGGTGGTGTGATTTCTCTTGATGATGCCAATTCTTCATTCAATGGCTCCTTTGGCGCCAGTGATGTAATTTCCAAGAAACTGGTTACATTCCGTGATATTGAAGACTTGCAAGATAACAACAAGAAGCTGTTGGCCTTGGTTCGTGAGCTGAGTAGTAAACATGAGGAAATGGAAACAAATCAACCTCAAATGGATGTCTCCTCTCTTCAAGACCGCATTAACAGTCTAAAATCTGAACTGACAGCTACACGAGACAACCTTAATCAGCAATCTGCTATGGTTGATCAAATAGTTCGCCAGAGAGATCTTTACAAGGAAATGTATCAGAAATCTGTTAAAGGAGAATCCACTGAACAAGTTCCTCTTCAAAGACCAGATTCAATACGCCATCCCTCACCTGCTAAACCTGCTCATACTGGTGTTGACCCAAGTGTTTTGGCATCCAAAGAAAAAGCACTTGAAGAAACTGCCAAACGTCTTTCTGTCACTGAGAAGCAGTTGCATGAATTACGCACAGAGTATGAAGAATACCGCAAAGAGAGACGTACTAATGAGGATATGCTCAATGATCAAATAGACAACATGATGAGTAAAGTGAGAGATCTTACCACTGAAAATTGTAAGCTCACCACTCAGGCAGAATTCCAGGCTGAAAGATTCAAAGCTCTCTTAGCAAATGTCTCAGGCCAGAAAGCTCAAATTACTGCGCTAGAAACCAAGTGCAAAACTTACAGTGAAACAATAGCCAAGCATGAAATGTCTCTGAAGTCGTTGATGCAGGAGTCATTGAGTGCTCAGGCTAAGCTTTCTCGGGCGGAAGTTGAACTGAGCAATTTGAGAGAAGAATGTTCCCTTTTAAAAGACTCTGAAGGAAGACTTCGGCGAGAGAAAGAGGCTCGAGCCCGTGAGGGCACAAGCCAGACCATGCTACTTGCTAACTTGGAGTCAATCAAAATGACTCTTGAGCGCACTGAGTCTGAAGGAAGACTTAAGGTAGAACAAAAATTAGAGGATTGTAATCGCGAATGTACAGCTTTACGTCGTCGTTTACAAGAAGAACAAGAAAATTTCAAGGAACTGTCAAGACATTTAGAAAGACAAACTGCTGCAGCAGTGGCTCGTGAGGAAGAAGAGAGGAAATTGGCTCAAGAAGCTCGTCAAGAACTGAATATTGTACGTGAAGAACTCAAAAAGAGACAGTCAAGTGCTGAAATCTTGGAAACTAAATTACGTGAAGCCTCTAGGACACCACCAGTTGTTGTTCAAAGGAATGATGAACAGCTCAGTAGTCGGGTCCGTGAACTTGAAAGCAAACTCATGGCCAGTGAAGGAGAAGCCAGGTCTCTCAAACAACAACTTGAGGACTCACGCAAACACTTGCAACAGTACACTGAAATTGCTGGCAGTTCAGAACAGCAACTCAGAGAGTTTGTCAAGATGCATGAAGGAGTCAAGTCTGAATTTGAGAAAAAGTTGGCTGATGCACAGCAACTGCAAGAAAGCTCAAATTCTGAACTGGCCCGTCTTCAGTCTGAACTGTCTCGATTGAAATCGGTAGGAAATCAAACTTCATCTGATCTTCAACTTAAAGTCCAAGAACTTGAAGTGCAGTGTAAAGAAGCTAACAATCTCCTTCACCAAGCTTCAGAATCAGGTGACGCTGTCAGAGCAGAACTGGATGCTGTTAGATTGGAGCTTGAATCAGCAGTCAAAGCGCAACAGGAATCTGAGGAAAAGTATGCACGAGAAGTCACACTGCATTCCAATGACATTCAGATAATGTCCCGCCTCAAGGAAGAGCTTTCATCTGAAAAAGCTCAAAATTCAGAACTTCGAGAGGGTCGGCGTAGTGCTGAAGAAGCTCTAAGGTTAGGTCGTTCTATGTATGAAGACCGTGAGAAAATGATGAAGTCTCAGATGAAAGAACAACAAGATCGTCTTTGTGAGCTTGAGAAGCAAAATACACTTCTGCATGAGCAAATTGAAGCACTTGGCACTCAGCTTATTGTGTTGCAGGCTCAAGTGGGATCTCCTAGTAAGAGCTCTGGGACTTCTTTGTCAGGTACTGGAACACCCAACACCTCTTTCTCAGAAGGGGAAGATTTCCATGGTCCAGAGCAGCTGTTGCAAGTTGTGAAGTTCCTCCGTCGAGAGAAAGAATTGGCTGTCACTCGCATGGAAGTTATTAGTACAGAGAACAGTCGTTTGAAGGCAGAACATGATATTTTGGAGAAACAAGCACGCGAAGCTCGTGAGGAACTGGAGCAGATGAAACAGCGAGAACAATGTGAAACAGTTACTTCTAACCGTCATCAAGAACTCCTGCGCAAGGTGGAAACTCTAAATGCAATTACTGACAGCAATCGGGTTTTGAGAGAGGAAAGAGATGCCTTAAGAGAGAAGGAACAGGAATTCGTGACCAGGATAAGAAGCTTAGAGCAAGAGTTGGACCCTTTGAAAGATAGGCATAGCCAACTCAGCATTCAAATTGAAACTCTGCGTGCTGAAAATACCACTCTGAAGACTGAATTAACAAAGTGGAGGCAGAGGACTAATCAGTTGATAGAACGTGCCAACAAAAATAGCCCTGAGGATTGGAAACGTCTTCAGAATGAACGTGAATCTCTTGCCAAACAACTTTCTGTGGAAAAGGATGCTCATATCAAGACTCAAGAAGAGCTGAAACTGCTGAGATTAGAAAAGTCAAAGCTTGATGAACAGTTACAACTTTTGACACAAAGGCACAATGCTCTTGAGGCAGAATTTAAGAGGAATTCAGAGAGCTCTAGGAAGACACTTGAAGAATTGAATAGTGTGCGTGCCCGTATCGGCTCATTGGAAGCAGAATTGCAAGAACACAAAACCAATCTAACCAAAGCCACTGAAGAAACTAGTAAATTGAATGCTGATATTGCTGCTCGAGAAACAAGAGAGCAGCAAATTAGGAAGATTGCTAAAAAATACAAGGCTCAATTTGAAGAATTGAAGAAGAGCACTGATGAAGAGAGAGTTCAGTGGGAAGCCCAACGTACTCAACATGAAAATCAGGCAGCAGCTGGAATGCTGACTGATGAAATAAAAGAACAACTTCGTGAGGAAGGCAGGCGTGAAGCTGAGCAGAAGTTACGTGATGTAGAAACTTCTCACACTGAACGGGTTCGCGAGCTTTCAGGGCAGGTGACTTCATCTCAGACTGAGGCTGGTACCCTACGTCGTGAGGTTGAGCAATTTAGAACTGCTGAAGAAAGAGCCAAGACTGTTTTGAAAAATGCTCGCAATCGAATTGTTATGCTTTCAGAGGCCAAAACAAACTTAGAAAAACAATTGACATCAGGAAGAGATGAGAGTGAAGCTAGATTAACTGTGTTGAAGTCCCAGTATGAAGGCCGCATTTCTCGACTAGAAAAAGAAAAGGCTGATGCCCTTGCAGAACGTAGCAGAGAGATTGAAAATCTTAATGCAAGGCTGAATCATCTGCAACGTATGCTAGACAGTCGCGCTCAAGGGTCCAGTAAACCCTCTACATCATCTGGCCATATTGACAAGGGAGCTTCAGATCCTCCCACAGCTAACATTAAGCCAATGGCTGGACCTTCTTCCTCTAGTGGAAAGCAGCAGGTTTGTGTAGTTTAATTTGTTCTTGTTTACATTTGGTATATTGCATACCTTGAAATCGTTATCTTAAATTATCTCAAATTATCTGCATTGTCTCAATTTTTTAGACACAACAATCAGTGACTGTACCACCTTGGCGAGCAGGAAATGAGACTCCTCTAGCAAGTATAAGACCTATGTCTCAGTCCCGAATGGCTGCAGTTCAACCTTGCACTTTACAGCCCAGGTAAATTAAAAAAAAAAAAAAAAAAAAAACATATAAAAAAAAACCCTTGGCATTTGTTATTGATTATGTGGTTTGTTTTTCAGTGGCACCTCTGCAGTGTTGATGATGCCTCTTCACCATCAACAAGCTCCATCCCAACAGCAGCCCCAGACAGCTCAGCAGCAACAACCTACTCAGCCTCAGTCACAAACTCAGCAACAGTCACAGCAGCAAGCAGTTCACACGACTGGAAACAGCAGTGGCACGGGATCTAGCAGTAGCAGTACTCCTAGCACCTCAAATGGGGCAAGCGGCAGTGGAATGGATGCAATAACTTCATCAGATTACATGCCTGCGACTTCATCAGCCTCTCCAGCCTCAGTTGGACCGATTCGACAAGTTGCTGTCCCTCCAACCCAACAAGCTACTGTTGGCCCCTCTACTAGCAGGACAGAAGAAGCTTCAGCAGAGTCAACACAGGTGAAAAAATGCTAATCCAATAATCTCAATCATAATGACTATTTTTTTCCCTCCCTTTGTGTCACTTCAATAAAAAAAATTTGCCCTATTTTTGACTATCTAGGATATGGAAGTGGAAGTTGCTGAAAGACAACCTGGTACATCAGTTCAGCAAGCCCAGCAGCACCAATCTTCACTTCAGCAAACTCAGCAACAATCCCAGCAACAACCTCAGCAGCAAGTCCAGCAGTCTCAACAGCCACCCCAGCAGACGCAACAACAGACTCCTCAGCAGCCCAGAGAGCCTCAGGCACAGATGGCCCAGCTGTCACAGTTAGCACAGCCGCATCAGGTTCTTCCACCTCAGTCACAGCCGCATCCCCACCTGGCTCAACAGCAGCCAGCTCCACCCCAGCAAGTTGTGGGCCAGGCACAGCCGCAGGCTGCTCAGCAGGTGTTGGGCCAGGCGCAGGCTTCTCAGCCTCAACAGCAGCAGCCTCAACAGCAGCAGCCGCAACAGCAACAACAGCAACAGCAACAGCCGCAGCAGGCTGTGGCTATGGTACTTCCCCGTGAACGGGTAGAACAGCAACAGCAAGCCCAGCAGCAGCCCCAACAGCCGCAAATTCACCCGCCGACTCAGCAGCAAGCTCAACCGCCGCAGCAAGCTCAGCCGCCTCAGCAGCAGGTCCCTCCCGCGTCGGGCGCTGGGCCGTCTCAGCAGCCGCAGGCTGGGGCACTCGCTGCTCCGGGGGCACAGCACGAGCAGTCCGTGATAGTGGCTAGCAGCCAGCAGGCTAGCAGCTCCAACACGGTCACCACATCTCAGTCGGGGATCAAGCGACCTCGCGACCGCGAGGCTGACGACAGTTCCACGAGCCGGGCTGGGCACGCCGAAGGGATGAAGTCGGCTCCTCAGCTCAAGCGCTCTCGCCTCGGGCCCGTGGGTGGGGACTCTTTCCAAGCTCCCGCCGAGAGCTCGGAATGTGGCAGCCTCGACGTGGAGTACCAAGTCCCCACGTCTTCCCAGCGCGACCAGGAGGACGACATCATCGTGGTGACTTCGGAGGAAGAGGACGATGAGGACGAGGGTCCTGAAGACGACGATGATGAGGAACCCGACGATGGCCCAGAGTTCCAGCCCGACGAGGACGACGAAAACGAGGAAGGTTATGAGATTGAGAGCTACGACCCCGACCCCGAGCGCGATTTGGTCATGGCCAACTACGACGATGTCGAGGGTCCTGACATAGATGACGACAATGGCGGGGAACAGGACAACGAAGTGGTGTTCATCGAGGACAGCAATGAGGTCCCAAACCAGCCCGGCAGCAGCAGCAGTAGCAGCGGTGGCCCTGCCGACGCAACGCAACATGTTGGCTCCTCCGCCTCAGGAGAGCAAATGCAGGCCGTTACGGCCACCCACGTATCCCCCCTGCAGCAACAGCAAGCTCAGCCACAGCAGCCTCAACAGCCCCAGCAGCAGCCGTTGCAGCAGGATCAGCAGCAGTCCTCGTCTGAAGCCACCTCGAGTGGTGCGACCAATCAAAGTGACAATGGAAACAGCAGCAGCAGCAACAGCAGCCATGGGGGTCCTAGTGGGAGCGGGAGCGGCAACAACCATGTGTCTAGCCAAGGCACTCCAGTGTCTTTGGGGTTTGGCGCCAGAAGTAGGACAGTTCCTCCTCTGAACAGGCAACAGCTAGTATTGGTAAGTCTCGTTGATGTTATGTTACTTTTGATGCCTGTACTATGATGAATTTTCTAATCACTGATGGTTTTCATTCCATATCAGGGCTATGAGGATGGTGGTGATGACTGCATAGTCCCCAGCACACCCACTTTGTTTGTCCCTGGGCGGAGAGATGGTTTTGGTGAGGCAGTCAGCTCTCCTCAGGTTCCTTCTGCTGGTCGATTCACTTTTTCTGATGCCAATCCCCCAGCCGTAAGAGCTGGTAAGTACTGACGATCTATCCAATTTACAATATATGTAGTAATGCAGAAGAGCTTACCTTTCTCCTGAATAATGTGTTCCAGACTGTTAATAGATTAATAGAAAGTTCTGGAGTCAATGTGGTGTTGTGCTTGCATTAGTGTTAACAATTAAGGATGTTCTAGCTTTTTTTTTCTCTCTTTTTTGTTTTTGTTTGCGTGTGACTGACTTTAGTGGTGGTGAGGATCAGCACATGCTTCTTTCAATCTTCATTTGTTGTTTTTTTAGTGCCATGCACCCCAACCCTCTTTGGCACAAGACGTGCTGAGGGTTATTCTGACGCATACCGAGCAATGTCTGTCCGCCACTTCACGTTCTCGGAAGCCCCCACTCCCCCGAGTCATACAGGTCAGAGACTGCTATTTTCACCACACATGGTGTGCAGCTCTCGCTTCTTTCATCCTTGCTCCAATTTTTAACCCACTCTTTTGTTAAACATGCTAAATTCAGTCTTAAATATATGACGCTCATGAGTTGTTTCTAGCTAACATGCATGAATCAAGATAAATTTTTGCTATAGTTCTGATTTATTGTGAGACTACTACTTAAATGCTTTTGTGATTAATTCTTACATGAAACCATCTGCATTTATTTACATTACTTCAGCCAGTCCAAGTGACAAATTTTTTCAATTTGCTTTGTTGCTGACTGGTTTTCTAAATTTTAAAATATGAAGTAGTATCATAGGTGGTTGGTTTATGATGTGAACTTTTTAACTTTACTGAACTGCATGCACGCTTGCCAGTGGATGCCTACCCCACCCAGCGTTGCCAGTGGCTGCTTATGGCCCAGTGTGAGTAGGCAACCCACTCGCACTCGTGCATGCGGTACAGCATAACTACAGAATGTACACGGTGTGAACTACACGCCTGGTATGTCCTGTGATGTAGTTTAATTAGAAAACTCTAGCTTTACTATTGTGACTGATTCTTGCCCCGCTTTGCTCTAATCATAGCAATGATGAATCCAATTTTAAATCTAATCTAATAGCCTTTCTCATCTCCTTTTTTTTAAAGGTGTTGCTCAAGTTGTTTGTGAAGGAATGGATGATACTAGAGTTGACCTATCCCAACTAGAGGATCCTAGCACAGGGCGAAGTGTTCCTACAACCCCTCTTCAAGTTTCTCCTCAAGGTTTGTCAGTTATGACTGTGTATATTCCTCTGCAGATACTAATTTAAAATATCTTAATTGACCATTATAATTTTTTTCAATGTAGGAGATCTAGCAGCCAGTGAGTTGGCTAATGAGGTGGGACAAAGCTCAGGTGATAATGTGGAAGCAAGTGGAAGTTTAGCAGGACCCAGCTCTGCACCTTCCATCTCTGTTTCTTTGGCTGAACACCAGCAAGTGGAAGGAGAGGCTCCAAGCCAGCGAGAATTGCTTGGTAAGTCTTCCATGTAAATAGAAGAATGGGGTGTATCTACTTTTTTGCCTTTTTGCTCTAGAACTCTAGTATAAAAAAAACTGTCAAGAAAACAGTCTGTATTTTTAATTTTAATTCATTGTTTCCTCAGATCTTGAACTAGAAACTGATCAAAGAGAAGCAGAGGGTGATGGTGGTGAATTAATGGGAGGGCAGGCTGATGAGCCTGAAGAAGTCATGGTACTAGACCTTGAAGAAGAAAGTACAGATGGTAAGGTGTATTAAATTTACTCTCCAGATCTTCACTGTGTATTGCCAACTAATCAACGACTTAATTTGCAGGTGTGAGTTCAGAAGGCTCGAAACCACCTCAGCCCTCTCAGTCTCAGCAGGCTCTGGACCTAGAGATGGAAGAAGGACGGGAAGCGGAGGCAAGTGAGCCTGCAGCCAGCAGTCCCCAAGGAAGTCCCCACGGCTCTCAGGGAAGCCCGCACGGCAGAGGATCGGGCACTGCCAGAAGATCCCACAGCAGACCGGGGTCCTTTAGGAGGGGCCGAGGCAACCAAAGGCCCACCCCTATTGTTTGGAGTGAGCCTGGCTCTACATCCCCTCGTTGTAAGTAACAGGCTTTATTATTGTGAACAATTGGGCAAAAGATGGGCCTCTACTTTAAATTACTGAACTCATCAGTTTCTCCTTATTGATATCAGAAATCTTTTGCAGCAATGGGTGATGGACCACCTCGTGGGAGAGGTATGCCTATGATGCCATTAGGGCCAATGGGACCAATGGGCAGAGGGATGATGATGGATCCTCGGGGTTTCCCTCCCAGAGGACAGAGGGCAAGAAGGATAAGGAAAGGTTATGGAAACCCATTTGGTAACATGCCTTACTGATAGCTGTTTCTGTTAATTGACAATTATTGAATTCATTTTTGACCCATTTTGACATTAGTTCCTGTTCAATTTTGATAAGTGCATCCAGGACTTGCATCATTATGTTAAGTGCACTGTTGGGTTAAACTCTTAGGAGTTCCATTTAAGACTGTAAATATTTTCCCGATGAATTGTTATTGTGTTAATGTCTCATTTGATAGTACTGATACTCATACTTCTTTTATTGCTTATGTTCAGTTGACCTGAAATCCATGTAGATAAAATCTGTGATCATCAGTACATCCTGTAGATTATTTTTTTATCAGTGAAGAACATTGTTTGTACATAATGTTAAGTGCTACCTAAATAAATTGAGGTTGCATAATGTCATATCTTTTTATTTATGAGGAGAAATGGATTGTTAACATATGCATTATTGACAATTCACACAGGAATGGAGAGAGAGACACAGACTAATCCTCAATGTATGGTGGAGAGCCTTGGTCATGATATTACAGAATACTTATAAATTAAAATGATGCTGCCTGTATGTCAACTGCACAACAATATAGGGCAGTTGACAGACAGTCAAGAATCTCAGTGGTGATTACCAGTAAGATGTCAAGCAAATGCATATTGAGTCACATTTTATTATCTCAGACCAATATGAATAAGTTTGACAAAAGGAGAACATTTTATCTATTACTGCGGCGATTGGCTCTAAGCTGCTTTTCAATTTCAAATTGCCGTAGATCAGTGCGCTGCAAAAAGTCCTGTTTCTCCAAAAACCTGAAACAAGCATGTCTTCAGAACACTAGATCTTATGTCAGCATAGCCAGGTAAACACAAAAAGCAAACATACCCATCTTTTCCACGATTGTGGGTTTGGATTTCTTCATTTAAGCCTTCATCACTTTTGTACCTCTCCCAGTCTAGCTTTGACTTCTCTAAAGTGCTAATCTTTGACTTTTTACCAATTTGACTGAGAACTGCAGATAAACCACCGCCTCTTCGTGCACCACCCCCTCGACTGGGACCACTTGTGTTGGGTTGAGAGAGCCTTGCCTCTGGGGAATCCACAGGAACTTCTTTGGTTACCCTGAAACCACAAGGAAAACACACAACAATAAGGAAAATAATTAATTAAATTTAAGAGAGCAAAGAAAAATATACCTACTTTACTTCTTCCCCAGCAAACTCAAATATTTGGGTTATTGTCACTTTCTTTTCAACTTTGTTCTCTTTCTCTGTGGCGACTGGTTTAGACACTTGTGAAGTCAAGGCTGCTGTTGAAGTGTTAACGGTTTTTGATGTTGAAGGGGCAGATGTTTTCTTTGAGACAGGTCCACCCACATCTTTCATAAAGTCTGAAAATAAAAATGTGCTACTGGATTTTTCTGAAGTGTTGACCACAGGTAATAACAGAATGTAATACAGTACCTGCCCACAAGGAATCTGCCTTCTTCTTTTCTTGTTCTACAGTTAATTTTTCTTCTTCAGCGGCCAATGCTTTCTCTTCTTCAGCCTGAACCTCATCTACTACATCTTTCACACTATTTTTCTTTGTGCGTTTCCTGTATAAAAAGTTGTATTTAGGCAAGTCATATATGCATATGCTAATCTGATTTTTAATCAATTTTCTGGTCTCAAGTGCTTTAATGAAACAACAAACTTTTTATTTCCTCCTTTGCCTTTTGCCGCTCGTTTCCGTCCCTTTGGTTTAGAATCTTCATCACCACTCCCTGCTCCAGCCTCTAGGTCAGCATCCTCTGGTCCAGATTCTTCCTCAGAGGGCAAATCACTGTCAGCACCTGTAATCAACCAAAAACAAAATTAATAACAATTTTTTTGAAGAAAACCGAACCAACAAAACCAAATGACAAGAACTCTGACTCCGAAACAAGATAAATATCTGAGGGAAAGGGAAACAATGAAAGCAGGCAAGTAACCTACCATCGGGCACGAAATCTTCATCACTCGAGTCACTATCAGATGGGAGGTCTCGTACATCCATTGTAGCTGAAAGACAGAAATTGATTCTACAGTAAGAAACTGGTTTGCCAATATGTTCTTGAAAATTGTCACTTAAAACAATACATTACAGGTGGACCAGAGAGAATATGGTTAGGTGTAACATGAACATGAATGCATGTATGTATTCATATCATCCAAAAAGAGTCATATGACTTAATGGTGGGAGTAAAATGAAACTAAGTTCGAAATTCTAAAAAAAAATGTATGAATAATAAAGAGCCAGCCTTCAGATTCAGTGAAACAAAAACAAAAAAACATTTGTCTCTTTACAGTTCAAAAAACCTTTAGTTTTTCAGAAATCGCAATTTATTACCAGCTGATTGTCCGCCAATGAAATAAAACAAGGAGAATCGAAATTTGGAATAAAGTCACACAAGGTTCAAGAGAATAAAACACGAGATGTCAGGAACCAAAAATACTAACGCCGGCTCTCTAGGTCTTTCTTCTGCACTTGCACTGCAGCTTTCTGTGATGTGCTAGATGTACTGGGACTGGGGAGTCTGCGTAGGGAGTTTGGTTGGAGTTGTTTGTTAGGGAACGCTTTCACGAGCGAAACTGTTGGTCGAGATCAATCAAAATAGAATAAAGGTACGAGAGAAATTATTTGAAACGGTCAAATAATCAAGCTATTTTTAAAATCTTTTAGCAGTATTTTGTTCGGTGGGCAGCCTGGTAAACAAATGACGGGAATAGAGGGGAAGGGGAAGGGGGGAGGGGTGTGGTGTTGTCTGCTTTCTGCTGTAGCAGGTACAACATGATCTATTTTCAACAAAAATAGTTGACAATTGAGAGCATTACTACTTACGTAGGAACATTGCGTCTATCATTTTATTTAATGGATTTTAGCAATGGAGTGCTTCAGATAAAAGGTTAGTCATCGTAGGTATACCATTCACAATATTTTAGTGGTTTGTTTAAACCAGCAAACTTAACCAAACTTTTGTCTTATGTGTGCTTGATGTCTCGGAATTTTAAACAATTTACCACATTTTTTGTTCGGTAGTAAACTACTTTACATTTTTTGCAAAGCAATTGATGTTTCCATGCCATTCCCTCACACGAGTCAAATTTTGAATGTGTCTGTATGTACACAAGATTACATTGATTCTTGATAGATTCTTATATGCTTGCTTTCAGGAGAAGTGACACAAATGAAAATGGATTGGTTTACATCCACTAAGAAAGTTGGAAATAGCCTGTGTACGTGGTTTTGATTTTTTTTATCAACCAGAAGAAATCAACCAGCATTGTCATCATGTCGTACAACTATCAAGATTTCCACACATCTGAACTGGACACATTGGCAAATGTGTTCAGTCTCACACCAACAGATCCCCTGAATACTTTTGCAGGTATGAATAACTCACACCCTGGGTGCATCCGTGTGTTCTAGTTACGCTTATTATGTTTTATTTTACAGAAATGTGGTATCAAGTATTTCTATGGGCACTATTTTCCTCTATATTTGTTCATGTGATTGCTGCAGCTATTTCATTTGCCACACTTCATAAACACAGGTTTGGGAAGTAAGTACCAGTAAATTAATTCTTGAAACTTTGTCCTTACCCTCTAAGGTTCTGAACTTTTTGTTTTGGCAATTCTTTAATGTTTTTTTTTCTTTCTTTTGTAGGTTTTTTCCTGTTATGATTCTAATTATGGGTGTATTTGGTCCTCTGACATCTGGCGTCATAAGCAGTGCTGCAATCGCTTTTGTTTACCGTGCTTCAAGTTTACAGATGGCGCCTCTCTATGCCCTCTTTTGGGGTGTTGGCCAAACAATCATGACTGTTTGTGTTGGATTTACACGGATTCTTGCTACATTGTAAAGTAGTGTATCATACTAGAGGACAGGTTCCTAGAGATAAGACCGATATGGACAGCTTTACTTCAGTGCTAGGGCTGTCATGAAAATTTAAGTCAAATATTTTAATACTTTGTATCTTTGATATCTAGTTACCAACTTTACTTTGTCTATTCCTTTGACTGCAATGGTTCATAGGAAACCACACAGTTTTCTTTGGTGCTAGTCTGTGTACATCCAACCAATTTCTCCTTACCTGTTCAAAAACTAAATTTGATTCAAATAGTCGACTATAAACAGTTACTAAAAAATTATGAAAACTACTATCTTGTTGTGAATTTGTTGCCATTTTTGCTTCAATATCTAATTCATTCCTGAGATGTTGTGATGAGTAAGCTGCCCTTAGCGTTTTAATACCCTAATTACTTTCAAACTTCACTTAATTTTGAAACCTTAGGTCTCCAAATACCTGGGTTAGTGTTGTTGTTTTTATAGAGCGAAATTTTTTGTTTCAAATTACTTTGTTACTCCAAGCTCAAACTAGTTTGCACTCATGCAAAATATTGTGAGCATAAGCTTGGAAGTTCAACGAAGTATTTGCTAATGCTCAAATTGACCATAACAGAATTGGCATTTATTACCAGAATATAATTAAATTCCACTAAGTTAATGGACAAAATTTGACCCTCATTTGTCAAACTTGGCATGCAGTGTTCTTCAACATTTCGTACATATACTTTTCAGCATGGTGTCATTTAAGCTATGAGAAGACGCATTTGTTTTTCAAACTCATTCAACTCATAGCACTTCAGCCTGTCTTTTTTGTTAATATCGGGATTTGTGAATATTTTTGTTATCTAGTAGCTATGCACAATGTTAAGTTTGGGTACCTTGTTTACCATTCTTTCTAAATTCCGTGGGGTATTTAATGTTTATTTCAACCCTATGCCAGTTTGATTTCAAGGGGATTTGTGAATAGATTTCTAAAAAGCTTGAGAACAATTTATGCCTTATGACAATTTTAAGCAGATGTTTATTTATATGAGATGATTTATGATAAAATGCTTAAAGAAAGGCTGTGGACTGACTAGAATATGTAGTATTTTATGCATAATAACTTTCCTATCATAATTTTTTGTTTAATGTATTTCATGGTACCATTCTCTGGTATACTTTAATCTGTTAAATGGGACACTGGTCCTGCTATGAAACACTGTAATAACATCTATTTTGTTGTTATTCATGGTTTTAATTTTTGTTTCAGATTTAGAACAAAATATTACATATCAGTTTTAGCTGATTATGGTGCTTAGATTGAGTTCCCATCAATGTCATAGCTAATGCTGAAATATGAAGCAATATTTTTCTATTCATTGTGAGAAACCGTATTAACTATGTAGAGCTGACTCAAACAGAATTTTCTTCAATATGTATTTTTCATTCACGGGCATAATTGTAACCTCCCTTAGTTTGAAAGGAATTTACTCATGCCTAAGTCAGAAAGATTTATGTACAGATCGTCATAATTTTATGATCCAGCTGTGATTTTTATTATTATTTTAAGTAAATGGTGATTTTTTTGAACAATGTCATACGTTATTGGAATGAAGGCCCTCGACCATCCCTTGCAAGTGCTTGGCGTGTGACGCGTTCAGCCGCGAGCTGAGCGCCCGTGTGCCTCGCACGTGCCCTCAGCCGCCACCCTGACCGTGCCTCGGAATTGATCTGGACGCTTGTGGCTCGTGCTGTACTGCTGCGTTGCGCGCGGTGTTGCGCCCCCCACCCCTTTGGACAGGTGAGGTGCAAAGGGCAGGGGTGGGTCCGGTCCACGGGGGGAGAGGTGTGTGGTGTGTGTCTCGCCACGCGGACTTTTTGCCATCGAGGGAAATGGGGAGGGGGCAGGGGGCGCGTCGCTCTGCCGTTGCGCAAGGCTGAGCTTCAAGGTACGCGGGTGTCACGACCTCTTGCCACACCCTTCATTTGCCAAACCCTTGCCCCCCCCCCCCCCGGCTACCTGCTTCCACCCCCGAGCGAATTTAGGGCCGCACCAAGTTAATTAAGCGCCTAGGTGCCGCTTATGAGGCTGGGGGAGATGCCCCCAGTCGTTCGTCTGGGAGGCGGAAAAGGAGGGGGGGAATCTAATAACACGGCAGCAGCCACACTAGACGCGTTTGCTGCCGAGCTGTTCATCCCTAGCCGAGCCCTGCTTTGCGGCAACAACGTCAAATTACGTGTAAAAGAGTGGGAAAAGTTTTCCGTTGTCCGCACCACCTTATGGACCACATTGTGGTCACGCTGCATCGATGTCTGGATACTTTGCCTAAAATGAAATTTGTTCTTTTATTCGAATGGCCCCTTACAATATCTAACTTGATGTGCTTCCCGCAGGGTTCGGTAACGTTTAGTTTTCGGCGTTGAATGATTTTCTGCCAGTGTTCCATTTAAACTCGCGCGCGGAACTCGTACCGACTCGTGCCCCTGGGGAGTGTTGCCATCGTGCTTCGTTAGGACCCCCTCACTGGGGAGGCCATGACAGCCGCAAATCCCTTCAAGTCTGAGCACCGGCTTACATTATTGCCGTTCTTGGGAAAGTCGGAATCAGCGATCTATGACTATAGTCTGTCCCTCTTTAAACGTCGGAGTCCGGTTGTTGGCGGTGGTTGGCAGCGCCGTCGCCAGTGCTTCCCCGCCGTGGCCGGGAGGGGGCGCGCTAGTTGCGCCCGTCGCAATATGGCGGCTGATTGTGTTGGTGTCCGCGGATGCTGCTGGTGTTGTGAAGAGCTCAGCTAGCGCAGCTTGTCGTGATCACGTCGTGATGCCTCGCGAGCGCGGCGCCCTCGTCGTGCCGCAACCAGCCCATCGAGTAGGACGTCAAGGCAAGCTCAAGACTGGGCCGAGTTGACTGACCCTGGCCTCCTAGGTGTTCCCAGGCCCGATGGGTGCCAAGGCGAGTACGGCCAATGGCGACGGGGTCGGCCACGGCGCGGGTCCCGGGGGTCCCATGGGGGGTCATGGGCACGGCCCCAGCCCCAGGACCCGCACCTTCTCGGCGAGCAGCAGCTCGGAGGTGGTGGCCGCGGCGCACGCGGGCGCGGTGGGCGGCGCGGGGCTGAGCTTCCTGCGGGTGCACACGGACAGGCAGCGGGAGCGCGCCCGGTCGCTGTCCAGTGTGCCCACCCTGGACGGGCCCCATGCCGGGCCGCACGCCAACAACATGTCCCACGACCTCATCCACGGCCTGGCCAGCGGGCTGGCGCACCACGGGCACCACCACGGCATGGGGGTCGGCGTCTACGACATCTCCGAGTCGGCCGAGTCGGACAGCAGCTCGCTGTCGCACTCGCACGAGGAGCACGGAGTGGGGCTGGCCCTGGACAGCCTCAGCCTAGGACGGGTCTACGCGGCCCACTCCCTGCCCACCAACATCTGGTCCTTGAACGGTGAGTACACACGGGGTGCGCGTAGGGGTGACACGGCCTGTATGGACGTCGCCGAGGTTAGAGTCGTCACTGCGCACAATGTAAATATGGCTGCCTCGCGGCCGACGCAGCCCCTGCCAGGGCGCCCTGGTTCACGGCCAGTTTCTCGTAGTGACGGCCGTAACTAGTAGAGTTGCTAGTATTCCAGGGCCAGGACCTCGGTTGCCAACGTAGGGTTGGGGTTGTCACGGAGGATAGGCGCAGGTATCGTCTGCTACGTGTTATTGTTTTGGTACCTCATAACCTCTCTCTTGCGAATTCTTTGTTTGTTTTGATGTCATTGCTCTTTAGATGGCTGTTACTTAGTTTAGGTCTATGATTGTCTCGTATTGTTGTACGACATCTTGCATGGGATACATTTTATTGAGTTTTCTTTGATCCCTTTGAATTAATTTGGAATGACCTTCTTTATGGCTGTTAGCCTCAATAGCCTTATTTTTATTTTGGCCCTTTTTTGATGCATGTATGTCGAAATCCTGGGTAGAATAGTGGATGTTACCTAAATTCAATTTCTAGCAGCAAGCATGAGACTGTCACACCTTATGTAACTTGTGTGGACAATGTCCATACGGGCTGATTGTCAACAGGATCAATGGCGTTACATGTAACAGTCTGTTAGTTATCTTGCCAAAGATAGCCTTGCTTGCTGATGCCACTGTCTTTGTAGTTTGCTTTGTTTCATAATTGCGTTGAAAGTACAGCATTGTGCACCCACAGCTGGAACTTTTCTGGATGTTCCACAATCTATAGCAAACCTCCTTTATGGAGAGCTTCTACTTTGTTTGGCCATTGTTATCATAGGTTTTGACTACGTCTCGAATTTTCCTAAGTTGCCCTGTCTGTATTTTCTTTCTTTATTTATGCTCAATCTGATGAGATCTTCTTGGGGCAAATTTCAAGTACTTGTGCAAGACACACGATGACATGCAAATCTCGAGTGTGTTGTAACTTGGTTTGTTCGCCGATGACGCTGTTGCATTTCAATGATAATGTGTCGGTACCGTGTTGCAGTTGCTTTGCGGCCTTGGCTGGGCCGTGCATTCATGGCGATGTGTTGCGATAGGTCCCCTATTATCGACTTATCGGATCGCAGCCTGGTGCAACGCGTGCGGGGCTGGGGTTGCAGGGTGCAGCGCGCGGGGGCGGCGCGGGGTCACGTGGGGCAGGTCAGTGCCAGGCCGAGGGAGGCACGGCGGGGCGCACCTCGGGAGCAGGAAGTGGCGTCCCTCCCCCAACCTCACCCCCCAACGCTCCTCCTCGTGATCCGACAACAGTGTTCTGTTTAAACAGCGAAGGCAGGCGGCACAGCTGCCGCCAATACCGAACGGAGCCTGCCATTCGACTGAATGGATGGTGTTGTACTAAACTGTAAATAGATCGCCCTGCCACGCCTCGCCACGGGGCGCGCCGCCGTGTTCACCGCCATCGGGAAGGCGGAGGTAGGTAGGGAGCCGCGCGGCGCTTCGGAGGTGCCACGAGGAGCGTCTCGGTGACGCTGCGCCGTCGCCTTTATAACCTCGTTTAAGCGTCGACGGGGCGGTTATTTAAGTGGCGACGGCCGGTTATGGGCGATATAGTGGCGGGCTTTACAACGCTCCGCAGTGAGCCGAGCTGGCTCCGTGTGCGGCGCGCCGTGGCGTGGCGTGGCGTGGCGTGGCACGGCGCTCGAGACAGTGCGCTGCCCCCTGGCTGCTGCTGGCGCGCCTGTGCTAATGGCGAGCTGCCTCTCGACTCGCCGGACAATGTCCATAGACCACGCCACAGGCTGTGGCTGGGCTGGGCCGGGCTGGGGTGGGTCACTCGCTGGCGGGACGAGTCTGTCGTGCCCCGCCGCGCCCCGCCACAGCCTGTCTGTCCACCCCGCGGGGCGGGCAGACGAGACGGGCGGGGCGAGGCTGCCGCGAGAGCGAGGAGGGTGCAAGCGCCGAGGGGCGGAGGGCATAGACCCCTCCGGGATGGGGCGGCTGGCGGGCGGGGGGTGCCGCCGGCGCGGGGGGACGCGCGGGGACGCGGCGCGCGGGGCTCCGCAAGGGAGCGGCGGCTTCCACCTTGCCCCCCC